ATACTTTTGCATCCCTAAATTTGAAGTTCTTCATGAACCTGATTATACTTCAGTTTTAAGTTACCACTGGTGAGCTAAAGAATTTCATTTTACATCCATTGACTGGCTTTCCCTATTTTAGCTGTAGTGATGTCACTGTTGATATGCATAATGCATTTTAGATTACCTATGACTCTAAGTAAGCCCCATGACAACTTTTAGAAAAACAGTCACCTTAGAAATGATAATCAGTCCTTTTGATATTCTGGGTTTATGGGAACACTATCAGAGCAAAATTAAAGAGAACCTAGATAATTTGAAGTCATGGGATTTCTCCTAGAATAAAACCAGAAACTGAATTTGGCCAAAAGCTGTTGAAGCCTCTTGAAGTAAATTAGCAGAAGGGCAGATGTTCTCTGAATATTATGGGGGAATCTGGTCGGTGTCATGAGGCTGTCATTCCTCTTAAAAGTTGCTGGAGAACTGTGTTCAATCTCTGCATTTAGTAGCTGTTCAAAAGTTATCTGAGTGTTGTTTAAGAAATGAGCATGTTTGAGGTAGTGAAGTTGACAGAAAATTGCTATGTGACAAATGACCTGAGAATTGTTAAATGTTGCAGTTCAGTTCACTTCAGATGTCTCTGCTATAAACAAATGGCATTCTGTGGAGCATGCCTCTTAAATGGGCAGGCCTATTTGTCTCATAGGATATGATAGACATTACTCACTAACATTGTCCATCAATCCTTCTGGGAGCATGGGAGGATTGCATGTCTTTGCACCATTAAAGTTAGACAAACATCTAACATCCTCTGACCAAGAAAATAAGAATAAAGTAATTAGTGTCACCTGTGACCTAAATCATAGAAAAGCATGTGCATGATTCTTTTCCTTCTCTTCTTCACCCTGCTAAAATCTGAAGGCTCTTGTGAGACAGCAGCACAGAGGAAGCTAGAGCCTTTATCTATTTCAGTCGCTGAGTGACTACCATAAATCAAGTTCCCCCTTGACCCATATAAGTCATGTGCTGTGCATGGGAAATAGATCTTTGCTGCATTAAGTCACAGAGAGGCTGGTGTTTTTTGTTATTGCATATAAACTAGCCTATTCTGACTAATACACAGCATCTGTTTTAAAAAGGCACTGTTTATGTGAACCAGCTACCTGGGATTGAAGTTAGCTCTGATATATAGAATATATGGGCATAATATTTAATCAACTATAACTCTAACTTTATTAAAATTATCATGTGTTTAACCTCCATGCTTATGGCAAGATAATACCCCAGGAAAGAATAAAATCCAAGTTAGTGGCTTTTTCAGTTCTTTCAGTGAAGAACATAATAGGTGCTCAGAAAATGTTGTTTGAATTGAGTTAGGTTGTATTAGAAAGCAAGAGTGCAAGGAAGAGGTTTTTTGGCCAAATACCATCTTATACCACAGAGAAAAAATGTGGGAGAGAAAGACAAAAATCATGATGAGATAAAGAAGGGCATCATAAGCAGTAGGACTGATATATCCTTAGCCATAATGTAAGTAGCTTCAGAGCAGAAAAATGGGAATATACTGATTGAGCCAGCCCAAAGCCTGAGGAAAGATAAAGCTAGTTATACAGGCTTCAAAGGGGTTTTAACTGAAGCTGTGTCTACATGGTATCAAAAATTTTATCTAGTTCCATATTAGTTTTACAGACCTGATTGATTTTTTTTTATCAAATTCATTGATTAGTGTTATGTAGACAGATTGATTTTGTTTTTTTCTCTCAGAGTTGTATGTCATATCTAATCATATGCCTTATCTCACACAGGTTGGCAGTAATTATTTTTATGGTTAAAAAAGCTTCTTTCCCAATATCATCAAATTTTATAAGATCAAGAATAATATAAGGAATTTCAAAACTTTTGTATTTCCCCTTTTTAATGTTTATATTTCCTGAAGGTCTGACATTCTATGAGGGCAGGAATGATATTAGTCTATTCACCAGAGAATCCCCAGGACCTAGCATAATGCCTTGTACACAGTAGATGCTCATTATCTTCTGAATGATTATATGAATATGTATATAAAGCTTCTAAGCTCCTTTCGATATGGTGCTACTTTATCCTTCTGGTTTTATGTCCATTAGACTCCCTCACATACCTTGTACCGTGGCCAAACAGATCTGCCTATAAACTTCATCCCATCTTTGTTCTCTGACTTACTCTCTTTCCTCAATATGTCCCCATGTCTCTGCCTAATATTAATAGATGCCTTTTAGGGCTAAGCACTTTTCATATATTTTGCCATTCCCTAAAATAAAATAAACAAAACTATGAAGTAGGTACTATTCATAATACCATTATACAGATGAGAAAAATAAGACTTAGAAAGGTGAGGTATTCTCTGAGCCCCATGGGTCCCCAACTGCAGGGCTGCTAACATTTGCGTCCTTACAGAACCATTGCTCCTAACCACCTTGCTTACCACTAGTCCCTGTTGTTCCTCCCTCAAGCCTCATTCAAACACCACTTCCTCCATAAAGCTTTTTCTATTATGTTGATCTTCACTGATCTCTCCTTTGTTCCAAACACCTATCACCCTTAAACTCAGCAGCATGCTGTTCACCCTTACTCTTTCTGTACATATTTCATGTGTACTAACTTTACGTCTCCAATGAGCCCTTGAAGTCTCCAACAGGAATTGAGCACTACTTCTTTCGTATATTCCAGTATCTAGCACAGGAGAGATGATCAAGCAAAACTTCCTAGATAAAAAGTTGATAAAGAATAAAATAATGTTAAATTTGCCAAATTTACCCTGGAATTCTCATTTAGAAATTTTCCTCAAAGATCAAGTCTGACAAAGAAAGATCTAGCTTTTTCTTTTGACATCCTTTATTAAAATAAAAGTTTACTTTCTGTCACTCAGAAACTTAAAACCATATCTTCAGCTTTGGAATCGTTAGAAATAGTTTGGATAAAATAGGCTGCCTTTTCAAGATGAGGCAAAAACTGTTATTTCCAGTCATTAAAACTGTTTAGGAACAAAGGAATCAACTGACAACTTGTGACTGGTAGAATCAGAGAAGCCGGAGATTGGGATGTTTATTTTTACACATTGGGAAGGAAGAAGCAAGGATTAGCCCCTGAGTTTGACACCTTGGATGAGCTCAGTGGTTTTGCATCATATCACATGAACATAATGCCTCTCTTCATGCCCCCTTAGAAGTAGGCAGAGGCACAGAAGAAAGCCCCAGGCTAGAGCTCTGAACATAAACTGGATCTAAGGTTTAGTAACTGAATCTGATCATATAAACAACTTAGAACAAGTGAAGAAGTGCCAAACTTGTCCTTGTGAGTTCCCTTGTAAGTTAAAAATAAACTAGAACAATTATGTATTCAGATTATGGAAAGGTAATGAAACTGAAGCTAATTTAAGTAAATGATTCATGATTCCAAAATACATAAAACTGCTACAAATTAAGTTTAGTTTGTGCAAAAGGAAAAACAAAAGAAATGAAGCCCTTGGTTAGGTTTGATACTCTTTAAACATATTACAAAATATTCTACCATGTCACCTTAAATCATAGATTCAGATTTAGACCAGGTCAGGGGTAAGCAATAGTTATTACCTGAGGGCTCTTTTGTGATCTATGGACAACAAAATCACAATTTAAGTTCATTCTCAATGGAAATGTGTCCACTATAACTGCTGATACTTTAGGCTGAGGCCTTGAATAAGTCACAAATTAGGTAACAGTATCCTCCTCTTATGTAGATGCATGTTTTTAATGGGAAACACATTTTTTTTAAATTATGAATTGATTTCAAAATAGAGACTCACTTAAAGATCACAGAGTTTGTGTTGAGAACATAACAAATGGGAATTGTGAGACCAGGCCAGACGCATGCCCACTTTGGACAGTACTATCTTGCTAACAACACTCCAAAGATCATGTTGTGGGAAAGTGGCACAGGCTTTCCTACTAGCAATTTATGGTCACTCATTAACTTGCCAAAACTTTTTGGGGATCATTATATTTTTGCTATTATTATCTGCAAAGTAAATACAATACCTGTTATTCCTACCACATTTTTTTTTTTTTTGCACCACGCAGGCCTCCCACTGCCACGGCCCGCCCGCCCCCTGCCACGGAGCACAGGCTCCGGACGCGCAGGCCCAGTGGCCATGGCCCACGGGCCCAGCCGCTCCGTGGCACACGGGATCCTCCCGGACCAGGGCACGAACCCGCGCCCCCTGCATCGGCAGGCGGACTCCCAACCACTGCGCCACCACATTTTTTGATTCACAAGATATCAGGATGGGGATGGTTGCTTGCCCTGAGGGACTTCTCTATAAGATCTGTTCTAGTCTTACCCCTCCCACCACCCTTCTGTCCCTTTCTATGTTCTGTCTCTGACAGAATTTATTCACAGTTCACATAAATTTGTAGCTCTCAATCACAACAACTCTCAGGCTATGCGGTTTTTATAGCTTCATGTTTAAAATTTAGTAGTCTCCATGACTCTTGCTCGTTCTAGTTGTCCTAAATCCAGACCTCCTCAAGTTCTCTTTGTATAAAATTACTGAAGTGGAATGTTTTTGGTGGAGTTCAAGTCCCCTGGTAAGAAGTCCAGATAAACTTATATGTGCAAGAGACTGATGGAAGGAAGTGCCTGTGAAGGATAAAAGGGGAGATGGAGCAGAAGTAGGCAAGGGAGTGCCTCAGACCATGATGCAGGTCTGACACTGGAAAGCAGAGGGAAGGAAGGAGGATTTGGTAGGAACAGCCTTACACAGCAGTGCAGTTGGGAAGAAGTCATACTCAGGTCAGAGCAAAAGTGTCCCATTAAAGAAGTTATCCTTGGGGTAGGAATGGCCTAACTCTGTCATCCCTGCTGTGCTCGACCATTGGCTAGCAAGTGTCCAGGAAGAGCATGGCCTCCATGTGAGAGCTGTGATAAATCCCACTGGGTTAGCAGCTGAGGTTGTTACTACATACACTCAGAGCAGATTCTCTCTGGAAGGGAGATCTGAGTAACTCACCTTCATGGCTTCCATAATTCACCCTTTGTGCTGCACAGGTCCAATTCTCCATCTGTGTTTGGAGCCCAGCTTGTCCATAGTTCTTTGGACTCCTTTTCTGAAGGATAAATTAGAAGATGGTGGTTAGTGGAATGGAAAACTGCTGTATTGCTTCATTTGGTCTCAGGTCTGCAACAGGTAATCATTGTCTCCCTCCTCCACTGTTCATTCAAAATGTGCCTCATTCACAGCTATCTTCTTGGTAAGTCTTTGTAGTTAACCTGGTGGTGTGACCAGATCTTCATTCCTGAGGGGTCTGAGCCCCTGCTAGTCATTCCTTTATGAGGTCAGGTAAGGGTTGCTGAATGTGTGCACTCACAGCTGGGCAAGGGAGTATCAAGAGAGGCTCAAGTAGATCACTTAGGTTCCACAGGTCCCCCCTCAGTCCCCATTATGTCAAAATGGCACTACTTCCTCCTACTGCTCAGGGTCAAACGTTTGCTATGTTGTGTGGGTTTCCATGTCTGTGGGTCAGGTACTATGTGAATACCTGGACAGTGATCCTGGCTGAGGATCTGTGGGCAGATAAAGCGAACTCATACCTGAAATCAGTATTTTTCTTTGTGAGGACAAACTCTCAGTCCTTTCAAGATAAAAGAGACCCAAAGTAGTCAGATTGCCTCCAAATGACTTGCTGGTCTCCTGGACGAATAATGCTATACTTGAGACTCAGCACTGACGGCCATTTGGATATTCAGAGATAGCCGTAGTTAAGTGGGCCTGGAGAGGTGTGAGTCTATGTTAGGTCCCTGTGTAGCTTCTAACGCTGACACCTTGGCGTACCTGAATTTTTAAAGAATTTCTCTCTCACCCTCTTGACTGCAGGTGTCTGACCAAGGCCTCCAGTGCTCTAGCCATTGCCTGCTCATTCTGCCTGAAGTCACTGATGTAATGGATCAATGTGATTTTCTGTACAATGTCTAGACAGCCCATATCTCCTTGAATAATACTATGACAGAAGGCAGGAGAGTTATCATAATAGAGTTTTCAGAGCCTGGAAATAAAACTGTACATGAGTATTTCTGTCTATTCCATGTAAATGCAATTGTGTCTGATCTTTTTTCCTAACTGTGGTAGAAAAGAGGCCTTATTAATATCTTCTAGCTATGAAACCGTGATTGGTCTTCGAGATGTAATCGTGGCTATTACTCAGTTGAGCTTCTTGTAGAATACAACCATTCTCCCTGATCTATCCAGTTTCTGCAGGGGCCAAACTGGTGAATTACACAAAGGTATGATAGAGACTGTAAGTCCTAAAACATTTAGATCTTAAAAAACAAAAACAATTTAGATCTTTAATGACAACAATAATCTCCATCATCCCTCCATGATATGGCATTGTTTAGATTTACTTTCTCTGCTGAGGGGTGATGGCTGTTTTAAAGGCTTTCACTTAGCTTCCTCCGTTGTGCTAGAGCTTACTCCACAGGCCAAGGATCCAATGTGAGGGATAGTCTGACTTTGAATCCTAACTATACACTCAAAGTAAATGACTACTTGATGTGCCTGTGGACTCAGTGGCTGGGATCACTGTAGTGGATAAAATCCACTGTACTAATCTTTTATCAAAGATTCCATTTATTACCTGGATCCCTCTCTAATGAGGGTGTTATAATGATGGTTTTGGTTTCAGGTATTAATGTCAACTCAGAATGTTATATCCAGTAGTCGTCAAAATGTTAGATAATACACTTTTTCCAGTAGTCAGTCATCTGAGTAAAAGGCTACAGGTCCCTCTGTGGAAGAACTAAGTGAATTTTTACCGTATAGAGTTGTCATAGTGTTGCGAGATCTTTCTTCTTGGGACCCATTTTATTTATTTATTTATTTATCTATCCATTAAAAAATTTTTATTTTATTTGTTTATTTTTGGCTGCGTTGGGTCTTTGTTGCGGTGCTCGGGCTTCTCATTGCGGTGGCTTCTCTTGTGGAGCACGGGCTCTAGAGCGTAGGCGCATGGGCTTAGTTGCTCCGCAGCATGTGGGATCTTCCTGGACCAGGGATGGAACTCATGTCCCCCTGCATTGGCAGGCAGATTCTTAACCACTGCGCCACCAGGGAAGTCCCTTGGGGACCCATTTTAGTCAATGGATTTTGTTTCTAAACATTGACCCAGATTCAGGAAATGAAAAAGGAATTGTGACTTTTTATTGGAGTGACTGCCCTCAGCTCCCTGCTCTTTCATTGTTGTTAGATATTTAGGAGAAATACTGCTGTCAAGCTATTTATCTTCTAGGGTGTGACAATCTGTTAACCATTTCTAAAAGTCCTTGTGGGTTAACTCCCCATGGCTGCTTCTCCTCCTTTGTCAGTTACTATAATTGTGGCCGCATGGCTTCTGGCCATTAAGTGCCACCTCCTGCCATCTATTGCTCCCTTGGCTATTAATGAGCCAGGCTCAATGATCCCCTCCCGCAATGTCAGCCCTGGACAGCAGAGGTGGCCACCACTGAGTTTCGTGAGGCTGGTGCCCCCCTCCCCAGTGCATTCCTGGTAGCCTTGGTGAACGCTGGGTCTTCTGAACCCTCTCCTGGAGCCTAATCCTTGGGTTGGATATTCATTCCCACATGTCTACTTCTTAGAGCCTTTTAATTCCATCCTCTACTATCTGTCATGTCAACTCAGGCATTTCGACTTTGCTCAGCATGGGCCACTACTTTCTCCAGGCTTCTAAAAGTCCTCCTAACAGTGAGTTTTCCCTATTTCCTGGGATTCTTGACAATTTATTAAACTTGTGTTTAATAATGTCCCCAGCTCAATAAATTATTGTTCATTCAGCCTTACGTTCAGGACCCCTTCCCTAAGCCCCCTCACAATCCAGTTCCGGGGGACTCCTCTGGATCCTGCTGACCCGTGCCTGCTAATTCGTGCCGTTTCTCTGGTGTGTGAGGTATTTGCCGCCTTATTTGGCCTGCCCATCACCAGCTGGATTATGCTGGGATCAAACTGTTAGCTCAGCCTGGTGGCCAGGAGAGGGAGGAAGAACAGCTCCCAAGGGGCATTGGTCATCACCTTGCAGGTGAGAGGCCTCTGTGGCAACACACGCACATGCCATCTCCCATGAGGCAGTGTCACCTCTGTAAGCTCCATAGTTTCAGGAGAATCTGCAGAGCCCAACCCTTAGGGCCATCTACCCAGTTCTGCCCGTCCCTTAACTCAGTGCCCTAGATCTTCTCAACCTGACCTTATAGTGTAACAGACTTTCCAGGGTTGGTCATTTAAATGATTCTGGAGTTCCATGACCCTAACTCTTAGATCCTGTGGTTACTCCTCAGCTGTGTCTGTCTTTGCACAAGATGGTGGTGGCTTCTTCAAAAGCTACCAAAAATGCCCTCTGGCTCACACGCTTAGCATTTAACTCTTTGTTAATTGATTTATCAATAAGTTTCTCATTGTCCTTCAGGGTGTCAATGCAACTCAGTAGTAACTAGCCACTTCTGCTGTCCTTAGCTGGCATTTTTCACCATACATTTTAAACACCTGAATCATTGCACCATCAAAAGTCTTCCCTTCTACTGGGTCATTTTCCCAGGTCGCCACTGGTGAAATTTTTAGCAGTTGGGATCCTTCCTTGTGCCAGAGACTATCTGTACCTCCTTTTAGATAAGTGTTAAGGGATCTAGTTCAGAGACCTCATTTTATTATGTTTTATTGGATCACTTCTGGTGTGTCACTTCTGGTGTGTCAGCTTGGGAACCAGATGCCAATGTGGAATTAGATGTGCAAGAGTTTTGTTTGGAGAATGGTTCAAAGAAGATAAAGGGGAGAAGGATCAGGATTATGCAGGAGTGTAAGGCATGTCTGATCCCTGTAAAGGGAGTTACAGAAGAAGGAGGATGGGATGGAAAGAGCCTCACATTGTGATCCAGCTGTGAGAAGGCACTGGGCAGGCTGACAGGTAGCCCCAGAGAAAAGACTGCCCATTAGTGAAGTCCCACTTTGGGCAGGAATGGTGCATCTCTAGAGCAACCTCTGTGCTCTGTTACTGGTCATAAGCAGTCTAGGAGTAGCATGGCCTCAGAGTGAATGCTGCAGTGGATTCTATGATGCAGCACCAGAGTGCCCTCCTCACAGCAGATTCTCTCTTAAAGGGAGACCTGAACAGCACACTCCAGTGGCTGCCACAGTTATATTTCAGGTGAGGACACACCATAATTTTATATGAGGGAAATACTAATTACTTGATTTTTTCCCTTACATACTAAAGTTGCCCAATTATATCTAATGTTTGATTCACTTTCAAAAGCATAGGAACCTAATGCAAACAATTTCCACTCTTCCTAAGTCTTTTTCTTGATCATAACTATTAGCTCAGAACTCTTTGTTTTGCACTTATAGTTTGAATTATTTATTGCTAAATGCGTTACCTTGCTTTTTCCTATATTAAAATTTATCTAACCACTTTCTACCCACTGTTGTGACTTAAATCATCTTTTCGTAGTGTCCCTACCACTAGAATTTGTGTAACGGGGGCCATATTTATAGCTTCCCATTTATAATGAATATTTGCAAGTTTTGACAAGTATTTTTCCAATTTCATGCCTAAGTTTCTCTATGGATTTACCCGTTGTCTGGCTTTAGACCATTTTGAGAACTCTGAGCAGAATCTTCTGAGAATGTTCCCTTTATACAGCAGCAGGAGACTCATTCTCTGCGTCAGCCTGGTGTTCCTGTACTGGAGAGATTAACTGAGGACCCATAAGCCTGAAAAGCCTGTGAAGTACATGCCGCCTTTTAAAGGGTGGAATTTCCTATATAGAGGGTCATGGCTTCAGAAGCAAATTGTGCAGGTGAAAACTGTCTTGCTACCTCAGACTCACTGTGACTGCACCATAGATACATAAAAAGGCAACAGTGCATCGTTACCCATGGGGTAAGCCAGTTGACTCTGGTGAGGCTTTGCTGATATTCTAGATGAACATGGAGAAAGTTGGTCACTTAAGTCCAAGCTGTTATTACAAAGTAAACAACTGCTCTCTAGGTAATCTTTTATGTGAAGCATGACTGCCTCTCTCATGAGGCAACTCGTCAATGTACTCCAGGTTGTGTGTGTGCTAG